TCAGTAGCCCTTACTCCTGAGTAGAACTATATAGTTTTTCAGTGTTAACCCTACCATGCTCCAAGGTACAGCATATATGGCACTGTGCCTACAATTTAATTTTCAAAGCAATTCCGTAAGACCCCCAGTGAATGCTTTAAACTAGAGGTTTGTTTGTTTGTTTTTCAATTCATATCCTGCCTTTTTCCTACAAAGGGCTCAAGGCAGCATTCATCTCCTCCTCCATCTTATCCCCACAACAACTGCCACTCTGTGCGGTAGGTTGGGCTGAGAGTCTGTGACTGGCCCAAAGTCACCCAGTTAACTGGCTCCGTGGCTGAGCGGGGACAAGAACCCAGATCACTTGAGTCCCAGTCCCATGCTCTTCACCACACCACACTGGCTCTCCAGGTTCTTAGGCTGTGGACACTGTGCTGCATTCAGATATTTTATGCAAAAGTTACAGAGCATTTGGGAATATCTATAGTTGGCCCTGCACTGGCTTGATCTTCTCAGAAGATTTCTTTATTTAAAACATTTATATGCCGTCCTTCACTATCGCATCTCAGGACGGCTTACAGGATGATGGCGGTCAAGGCCATTTTGACCAGTGCCAGGCAGGCTTAAAAGGTTCTAGCTAAAGGCACATGGTTCAAGTGCAGGACTTATGGGTACAAAAATATGATTTTCTTTACTCAGAACCAAAAAACCCCTTTATTAACTGCTCCGCTTAGACCAGGGGTCCTCAAACTTTTTCAACAGGGGGCCAGTTGAAAGGCGGCGGCTACAGGCGCAGGCCGGTGAGGCGTCGCTGGGTGCGCACGAGGTGGCAGCTCGCTTGGAGATGGTTTTGGACTCGCTGGGAGATCTCCCAACATGTCCAAACCCATCTCCGAGCAAGCAAGCCACCACCTCCTGCCCGCACAGCAGGCCGGATGAATGGGCATGGCGGGCCAGATCCATTCCGTGGGCCGTAGTTTGAGGACCCATGGCTTAGACCTCCAGCAGCTTTGCAGCTTTTCCACTGTTGGGAAAATTCAGATAAATCCTGGCAGAAAAGGATTGCTTATGTACCTTTGTATTATAAAATGCCTGGGTGCCTTTCTCAGGAAGCACCCAAAATTGCAAGCCAGGTTACAGTTTAGAATGTGCTGTTACTTTAAGAAGTAAGACCTGATGGCTTCCCCAAGAAGCTACTAGGACTATTGTTTTTGCTGATCAGTAAGGACCAGTAAGGATCAGTAAGGCAGCCAGGTTAACAGCATTGCAATCACCCTCATTTACATGCCAAGACCACAGTAATCCCTGTGCCTCAGTGATCATTATGTTAATCTCCTGCCATCAAATACCATTGTATTGAGCCCCCTCTGCAGACCTCCCCCTCCACCTCACTGTGATCACCTTATTTCATCATCAACTGCCCAGCTGCTGGGCCCATGTGACTCAGAATATATACAGTGTTTTATAGATTTTAACACTCAAAATCTATAAAACACTGTATATATTCTAGTTGGCAGGGGAGACCACTACTTGCATGCTATTGTTAGTAACTGCAGGGGGCCTGGGTGATCTCACCTGTGAAAATGCTGGGGTTCAAGGTGATTCAGTCTTCCCTGAGGGGCCTGGTAATTCATTCTTGCCATTAGTAAAGAGACTCTGACACCACAAAAGGAAACGTTTGGGAACTAGTGGTCTAGGACAAGTGGTGCCATGACATTACTGAAGGTAATAAAAAGTGGATGGGAAACTGCCTGCTGCTCTAGATAAAAGCAGAATATAAATGGGCCAGTCCAAGACATTTTGCTACCTGAAGTGAAAGAGAAGATGCTTCCCTTCCCATTTTATGAACAAAGGGGAGAGAACTGACATTTTCAACAGATGGGGCTGAGGGAAGTACAGAGAATTTAGGGGCAATTATTTATTTCCATTTCTGTGCTGCTCCATAACCTGAGAATTCTCTTGAGCAGCTTACAAACATTAAGACAGTGTTGTTGTTGTTAGTCATGTCTGACCCATCGTGACCCCATGGACAACATTCCTCCAGGCCTTCCTGTCCTCCACCTTCTCCCGGAGTCCACTGCCTACACCTCTGCTTTAAACAGTAAAGATTTCTGGACCTCTCTAGTTCAAGAGGTTTCAACAGTTAGATCTAAGACAATTATGAGTAGAAATAATAATTATTGCTCAGTAGTTCTAGAACTTAGTTGAGAAGGGGGCAGACATGATATTCTAGACCTCTTTCTTTCAGGTGTTTGAGAACCCAGGGTTATGGAAGTCTGGAGAATGGCAGTGTGTTGCACTGTATCTAATAGGAATAATAGCACCTGAAATCAACCCAAGTTTTGTTTCAGGATATTCAGAGCTGGTGAAGAAAAAGGCACTATGTGTAATATTCCCCTGAGTTTCTAAATGTTTTATTTGCAAGCTTGTGTTTCTCATCCTCTTGTAAATTATGACTTTGTTCCAAAGCAATTTTCCCAGCTAAGAGCTATGAAAGTGTTTCTAGTAAACTCTTTCAATGCCAATTGTATCCAGGTATGTTTAATAAGAGTACTGGCATCTCATTCCCCATGTATCTTTCTTGAACATAATTAATTTTCAGAATTCAATTCTGCAATTGGTTAGATGGATAGATAGTAGACGTTGGCCCTCTCCTGGGTAGTTTTATAACTGTTTGCCAATAAAAAAAATTCAGCCACACTGGTTTCACATTTCATTCCATGTTTGCCCTGCGCATTTCCTGATACCAATTTGGGAACTTCTCACTACATATTAGATAAACAGCTTGTGTTAGTTCTGCCTGTCTGATTATCCTGGCATTACAACAGTTAGACATGGAATTGAAGTTGTATGCATGAGTAGAATTCTGGAGTTTTAGGACTTTTTTCTATCTCCACATGCCTAAGAGTGTGCCCTAAACTACTAACGCAATATTGTTGTGTGTTTTTACTTGTGTTGGGTTTTCTTTTTGAAGCTGCAGGGCTGTTAACAGTATTAATCAGTGTTAGCTATTTTTCTTAAATGGCTTTTATGCATATTAGTTGTTGCCTGATGTAGAATTACTATGAGTTCTATATTACAGAGGACAGTCTTCAATTTGAAGGCTGAAATGACAGTTCACAATTGGAAGGTGTCCTTTATTTTAGCAACAGATAATTTCTGGACCTCCAGATGATTTGACCCACAAACTTACCTTCTGCAAGAAGATATTACAAGATTCAAGGTATAATTGTATGGAAATTCGGACAGAAAAAAGGATACAACTCCTAGCTTGCCCCAGCTAGGAGGAATTGTTTGGGGAATATTGGGACTGTAGGCCTTTTTCTGTCTAAACTTGCACCCTAAATGACTGATTAATTTACAACAAAGTTAAAACGCTATCCATACCCCAATATAGAAATAACAAGGATAGTGGGAACACACTCCTGAAACAAATTCTTTTTGAAAGAATTAATGCCTATGCCCTTTACTTGGAAATACATCCCACTGTTTTCTTCGAGGGTTATTCCTAAGAAAGCATGCACAGGATTACAACCACATTTTGCTTAAAAGAAACATGAAATTGCACACAGAGGGCAAAATGCAGTGGGAATACAATGTGAATGCTTGTGTCAAAATAATCTAACAACTGTTTGGAAGGGAAAGCATTCTGTACATGCTCAGATATACTTTTTCTCAATTGCTTTATAACTACCAGTCCTGATTTTTTACACTCAAAACATGTTCTGAGGCTATGTTCCATAGGGCACATCTGTAGAAGCATGCATTTCAGGGAGACATGCAGAACCTTATCACTGCTAGCTTTAAAAAAACCCCACACATTTATTCCAGCCTGCATTTGGTGCTTAAAAATAAGTTGCATGCGTATATGTGCTTGCTTCTGTTCTATTCAGTTCTATTGTTTATAAACCTAGGTCATCACAATAAAACAAAGAAAATATCCAGACTATTACTAAAGTAAAAACAAGCAAATTGATAGATGAAAAATTCAAATGTAAAATTCGCAAGTACTAATGTCCAGGTTTTAGGATGTGCCTCCTTTGGATATCAGTGTAAAACATGCAAGGCTCAAAATTAAATAGTAAATTATTTCCCCCCAGTACAACTGGTTAGGGTTGTAAATTAGAACCTGGGTCTTCGAGTCCCAGGGCTCCACTAAGCTGCAGTAATAGATCGAGGTCTCGTGAGTCCACCATTGCCGAGCCCACGTATATTCACCGCGTAACACTTTCCGCCCCACCACCCGCGGCGTGTAGGGCAGGCCGAAGCAGCAAGAAACAAATTCCCGGCACGTCCAGGAGGGTCTGCTCCTTTCTGCGAGCCCTGCAGCGCGGCCTGGAAGAAAAGGCGGCGCTGCTAAAACCGGACAACCAGGCCTTGGCCTCATTCTCCTCCCGAGGCTTCAGCGTCTTCCGCTTAGCAACTGTCGCTATGTCTTGGGAGCCCCTTACTGAGACGGTTCCTGGCAGGGTTCAAAATCCACTAAAGATAATGAGTGTTGTCCTAGGGCAGCGGGAGGAGGTTGCCCAGTCACCCTCAGCAGAACACGCTCTTGTAGTCGGAGGAAGTTGCGCGAATTTGCCTGTGAGTGGAGCAACTCCGGCGAGCCAAGGCGGGCTTTTTTCACAGTAGTGCTGCCAGGACCTGAGAGTTGACCAGAACCGCACGACTATAGATCTAGAAATATAGTGAAATCTGACATCCGGCAGAAAAGGAAAAGACAGAAGGGCGCAAGAGTCCTTTTCTTCCTCTGCGCGTCGATTTCCACGGGACAGCTGCGTTTGATAGGGCATCAAAAGCAACAAAGTGTGGTGTCCTCTCAGAATTACTGTTTAAAGTGCCACAAGACGGTTTGCGTATCAGCCCTGGAATGAGATCAGGAAAAGGCGTTCTACACTTTGGCAGCTCTAAGGTGAAAGCTCTCTGTCCCTTCCATTGGACGTTAAGGTGGGGAAATCAGACCGGTAGACCGGAAATGCCCGGAGGAACTTCCTGTAACTGGTCGGAACGGAGGGGCTTTCTTGCTGCTTAGTTTCTTGCTCGTTTGCAGTCCTTCCTCATGTTGCCCGCCGATGTTGCTCACAGGTGGTGATAGTAGTAGTTGTAGTAGTAGTATGGTGTCAGTGTTCATGGTGCTGTGCAGAACAATAGAGAACAGGTCTCTGCCCTGAGGAGCATACAATCTAAAATTCGATGCAAGGGAAGCAACAGAAGGAAGTGAAGGCAGAAGGAAGGCCTTTTTTCTCCCTTATTTTCCTTGTGGGTCAGGGTGAAAGGCTTGTTTGAAGTGTAAAAACCCCTTCGTGCCATCAGCAAAATGAGGGCTCCCAAGGACAGTACAAAGAAAAGGGACCTCCTAGGATGGATTGGAGCATCAGGGGGGCGGGGCGGGGGTGCTGCTGTAAGAGTATCTGGGCAATCAGCTAAGGCATTTTTTAAATGAAAGGGACTGCCTGATTATGAGCAGAGTACTCTCCTGGGTAGCAGAGGGATTAGAATAATTCCAGTTATTCTTTCAGGTTGGTACTTATTGTTTAGTTCTCCCCTCCTCTCTCCCTGAACATGCTGAAAAGGAGGAAAGAGAAAATGGACTGGTGGAACTGACAGTATTAATTGCAAGAAACCCTTGACTGAATATAATCAATTCTATGGGTAGCTGTTAATTGAATGATGCTGTGGACAGTTTGGTATGGTGGCTTGGTATGATTCTGGTCCAGTCTCATCCAGTTGTTGACTCTGGAGTGCATGAGGTAGATTGAAAGCCTCCCTTTGACCAAAGTCATGTTTTCGTTTGTGCCATTTTTAGGCTGGTTTCCCTGTTCACCCAAGCCTTGGAAGACTCTGCGGAGGAGAAGCGGCGACTGCATCAGAGCCTCAGTTGGCACAAGGCTCTTCTTGGAGACTGGCAAGTTGGAGAGGGAAATGAATGGCAACCCATGCCCAGAGTTCTAGACAAGTGATTGGTTTTCTTCTTTGTGTAGAGAGGTAGCAAAGTGTGTGGATTTAAGAAGTATTTATTTTAGATTTATATCTCATCTTCTTTCAAAGAACTCAGAGCAGTTTCTATCATTCTGCTGCTGCTGCTTTCAGTCTTACCCCACAACAACCACCCTGTGAGGTAGATTGAGCTAGGAGGCTGTGACTGGCCCAGTCGACTCCATGGCTGAGCAGAGACTAGAACCAGGTTGCTCTTTTTTTAGCAGAGGGCGTGAATAGGTCTGAATAGTCAAAATCCAAAAGTTAAGAATCTTGTCATTTTCTATAGGGCAAATAAAGTTTTTGTAGTTGTAAACTGGATCATGGTACTTGGGGATGAATGAATGGACATACCTGTTATTTTCTGAATGCTTGCACTGTGTTTTCTTTCCTTCTGCCAGGAACCCCCAAGTTCCTGAAAGCCCAGACCTCAAAGATGGTGAGAATGATATTCAAGGTAAAGGCAGTAATAATGAAAAACACTTCCCTTATCTTTGCATGTTCTCGCTTTCCTTACCTACAGGGAGCCTTAGATACTTTTACAGGGATTGGCAGATGTAAGGGGAGATGTATCCCTTCAAACACTTAGGAGCACATGGTGGGCGCTCATACAATAGATGGAACACATGGGAATAAGAATAGAATCTGAGTACAAGCGGTTCTGGATTCAAATCAAGGCCAGATTGGATGCAAACCTAAGAGAGAAATTCAGCAAAAAGACCTGCTATTGTACCCAGGAAGGTGAAAGGAATTTCTTTTGAAGCTCATTACTTGTTTCATGTGTTGTATTTCTGGAGAGGGAACTGGTTTATCTTAATATGTGGTGGTTTGTTATTCTGCTTTTCAAGGTTTTTTATCCACTGTGAACAGGAGTGCGAGGCAGATGCAACAGCACACACATGCATTTTTCATCAGGGCACCCCAATTGGACTGTGTATTCGGAGTAATGCAACTTAAGTTCATTTGCGCTGAGAATAAGAGAGTGAAAAGTAGGAACAGCATGACAGTTACAGTGGGTTGTACAATTTAAAAAATGCAGGTAGGGGGCAGAAATTCTGCATAACATTAAAGCAAATCTGTCTCCTGGAGTCCTATTCATCTTCCAACTGGTGAGGTTTCTCTAGAAGATTCCTATATATCTTCAAGCTTTCATATAGAGCCATAAGCCATACATGATCTCCAGGCTTCTTTGCATTGCAAGCACAATATTCTGCATCAACTCCCAGATGTGTGGAATATGCCTATTCTTGCATTTTTATGAATGAACTCAGCTGGCCCTTTCTGTAGTATAATTCTGAGAAGTTGTGATAATGATTATAACCATTTAACTTACTCTTTCTTCATAGTAGGAGCAATCAGTAAGGACATTTACCATGAAAAAGCTGCATGTGTACAAGTATTTGTATACCTCAGTGCATGGTCTAACAATGACCCTGTATTTTTATCTCTCTGTTATTTAGAGGAGCATGAGATTACCATAAATGATCATGATTCTAATAAATGTAGCCATCTATTTTTCTGAAAGCTTCCCATGCAAAATAGGCTAATTTTCATAGGATCATTTGCGTCAGGAAAATTAAGTTTGCAGTGCAAATTTTTCAGATGCCCTGTGGTGATCATGTTTTGTTGGTATTTAGTGAACAGTAATGCTTAAAAAGTAGCTTGATTTTGTCCTAATACTTGAAAGATTTCAGAGGGGGGAATTAAAGCACATTTAGGGAGCAATCCTCTGGCCCCTAAAAAGCAGTACCATAGGCTATTTTCATTTTCCCAGATCTGGGCAAGAGGCAGTGCTTTCCTCTTGTACCTGGCATGGACAGAACTGTGCTGGGTGTTCGCTAGTGTTGGGAAAGGGACTTCATGGTATTTTGGAGTGGGGATCAGTTTGAAGAGGCCAGTTATGATCCATCCTGAGGCCTCCAACTCCCACCTCTCAGCAACCAGAGCACCAAGACAGGAAAAAGTCTGTCTAGTGAATTGGGAAGGATTGGGAAGTAGAAATCGCTTCCACTCTGCTCTGTGTTAAATGACTGTATGCCTCTGACTTTGGGGTCTTATTTATTATAGATTTATAGCTCACCTTTTTTCTTACAAAGTGGCTTACATCATTCTCTTTCTTCTGTGCCCAGTCTTATTTCCACAACAGCAACCCTGTGAGGTAGTTTGGGCTGAGGTTCTGTGACTGGCCCAAAGTTACCCAGTTGGCTCCATGGCTGAGTGGGGACTAGTATCCAGATCGCCTAAGTCCCAGACCCTAGCTCTTAACCACCACACTATACCACCCTGGCTGTCTTATGACCACTGTGATAGGTTTATGCTCATGATGTGATTTAAATGTTATTATATAGACAATTGTATTGAAATTTATTCATTTTTTATTAATTTAAAACTTTTCTATACCGTCTCAAACTTAAAAGTCTTGGGACGGTTTACAGAAATACTTAAAAATATAAAGCCATAACACATACTTCCTTCCTTTGTTTACATTTAAGAACAAAGCTAAGGTACTGAAAACTGTTGATCCACTAATTTTAGTAACTGAAAGAACAGTTCATGATATGCAGTTTGATTCTACTAAGGCATTCGTTCAGCTTCAGATTTCTGTCAGTTTTTCACATTGATGTAAATGTATTTCAGTGACATTGACCTATTCTATTGTGTACTCCTTGGGTCTAATACTAGCAGAAAAATTAATTACAGCTTTGAAACTGCCATGGTTGCCTAATATTGTATTTGTCATCCCTTGATTGTTGCTAATGAACTAAAGAAAAGGATTTTTTTCTGCAGAAAAATTAAGCCCTGGGAAAAATTTCACTCTGCACCACAGTATAAATGACATTTTGACTCTGCATTTGTAGACAGCGAACCCTCAGCCAAGGAGTGTGAAGAACTAGAGCTGCTTAACAAAGCCCTGGAGAAAGCATTAAGAATCCGGTCAAAGTTCCATCAGGCTCCCTGTGAGGCTACAGAAGGTGAGAAAGCAGCAGCCAAGAAGCCTGTTATAAGTGACACTTTAAAACAGCAATTGAATAATTCTAAGGAGAGCATCTCTAAGACTGCCAAGGTGTCCTCTGTGATCAGAAAGGCTGTGCCTTCCAAAAAGCCCACAGCGTACATGCTGAAAGCTCCCTACAGGACTGACCCAGATGGCAGAAGGCCACAGGCAAAAATGTTACCTCAGCAGAGCTCCAGAGTTGCTAAGGTACCTGAGAAGAAAAGGTCAGCCAGAGGAGCTGCTTCCCCAAAAGCCAAATTGCCTATAAAAATAAGCAGAGCAGGTCATGAAAAGGTCTTTGCCGCTGGAGAACCTGGAACGCCACCGGACTCTTCCAAATCCCCACATCTTGCAAAACAACGCCCTTCATCAGGGAATTCTGCAGATGGGTCAGACTTTGCAGGTCCTGATCCACCATTACCTGAAGCAGGGAATAAGGAACCTGCTGTGGAATCTCTAGTTTCACAGAACCGTTTGAGAGGAAGCATCCCAGGGATGGGCTTAACTTCCAGAACTTCCACTCTCCAAGAAAAGGGGTAAGTTCCCGGTAAGAACTCCACAACTCGGCCTTGAAGTTGTAGTTAACACAGAACATCAGATTGGGGAAGGCTGGAGTAGTAACTGGCAACTTGACAACCGCTCCCATAAGGTCCAGCCAGCATAACTATGATCAGGGATTTTAGTTCAAAGCATTTGGAAGGCTTTGAAGGCCAGTGCTAGCATTTAAACAGAGCCTGGGAGCTCATGCAGCTGGTACAAAATCAGAATAATATGGTCTAAAGTTTGGGTGTCAGAAAAGCTTGAGTTGCAATTGGCGTGATATGAAAGTTATAACTGGGTTGTGCAAGGACAGCTGACTCTCCTAAAGCTGGTGATTGGCTATTGCACCAATGCTCTTGCGGGCTTTTCCAGGGAGCTGATTGGCTACTGTGTGACCAGAAGGTGAGGCTAGATAGATAGGCTAGATAGGATTATTACACAGTTTTATTTATGTATTTATTTATTAGATGTATATCCCACACTTTTCAGTTAAAGAACTCAAAGTGGCTTGCATAATTTTCCTCCTGCTCTCAGTCCGATCCCCACCACAACAACCCTGTGAGGTAGGCTGGGCTGAGAGTCTGTGACTGGCTCTGAGCCACCCAGTTGGCTCCACAGCTGAGTGGGAACTGGAAACCAGGTCCCAGTCCTGCTCTCTTAACCACTACACCATACTGAGTCTCAGTCTAAATTAAAACCCAAGATAAAGCAGTACGGTTTTTGCTAGTTTCTGAATCGATGTGCCTTTGTGCACACAGAGTTTGCTGATGCAAATCAATTCTTTGCAGGTCTTCGCTGAAGCTACCACTCCCTTACAGGAAAGCCTTTTCTAGGTATATCAGGTAAACCATCCAAGCTGCCTTACTTCAACATTGGAACTCTCTGCAAGTGGATGGGAGGGTCCCCAGAGGTGGCGCTCTCGTAGGAGAGCCCAGCTTGAGTTACTTTGCGAAATTGGTTGGAGGACTGGTGGGGCAGTGCAGCCTTCTAGAACACCCACACATGGAGCATATCACGGGGCCCAGCATGTGGAATGGAGTCGAAAGCGCGAGGCAAATCTTCACGTGGCTGTGGTCGGGCATGGTGGCCTTCCGTTCTCCTGCCCATTTGCATGAGAGCTGCCAGGTGGGAGGGGGTGTGTGGCCAGCCCAGTATTGTTTGTTCTGACTTGAATCTGCCTTAGACAAGGTCAGACCGTGCAACAAGCCATGGTGGGTTTTTTTACCATTTCTGGTCTGTCATGTTGCTTGAACCCAGCCATGGCCTTTCACTGTGCTATGTTTGGTCCTTAAAAACCATGACAAGTTTTCTCTGTGCCACTGTGGCTTGTCATGTGGTTTGAACCCAGGATCATGGTTTCCCTCGTCCTGGTATATAGCTACCACAGAGTCCCCTGGCAAGAGCGGCCATTGCAGGAGCCACTCAAGCCATCCTGCCTCTGTGTGTGGACCAATGAGGAAGGGGCAGGTGACATAGGCTCCTTGGGATGGAATTTCAGGTACAGTGACTGATGGGATACATGCCAACAGCAGGGGGACTGAGCAGGGAGAGACATTTTGGGTAGATCGTGGTAAAAAAACCTGAATCATGGTAACATGCAGGGTCGCTTGCCGTGTTGTGTGAACGCAGCCAGTATGTCCACCTAGCCCAGTCTTGTTTGCTCCCTCTGGCAGTGGCTCTTCAGGCTTTCAGGCACTGAGAGATCTTTCCATCATCTGCTACCTGTTCTGTAGAGCTGGACCTGCTGGGGGGTCACACCTAGAAACTTACTGCATGTAAAGCGCGTGCCCAGAATGTGAGCTGAGGAAAAAAGGGGTTTGATAGGTGCCGATAAGGCAACAACGTTGCATGTTCGAAATAATGTTCTGCCTTCCAGAGTGTTCTGCCCTGCTGCCTTTAGCATTTTCCTCTTAGAGGTCACTGGTCTCTTCCAGTGTGTGATGGTGGAGGTAATTTCTGCTGGGTGTGGGGGCAGAAAGGAGATCTGTGGATGCTGTGAACGTCAACTCCTGGCATTCCTGACTATCAGCTGTGCTGTCAGACCCTTCTCCGCCTCAGTGACCAGGGGAGTTTCTGTTTGTAGCCTGGTCTCAAAGCTTATGCAACACCAGCAGCAGCTGTGTGGGAAAGCAGATAGTTCCCTGTGATGCAGAAGACGGGTAGAGTCAATACTGCTCCCCATATAATAATCGGGCCTACATGCTGTGTTTTTCTGCAGTCACGGTATGGCTTTTGGTGATCTGAGTGCACCTAGAATCGGAGTTAATGGAGCAGAAGCATCAGCCAAAAAATGATAAATGAATCCATGTGTTTGCATCTGGCATATTCTGTGCCTTTCATAGGAAACTAAAGCCCGGGGGCTGCATCAAATTATGGATTCAGATGATATAGCTGTGCCCCGCTGCTAAAACTGAACCCACATGCAGCTTTCAAGTTACAAAATAAAATTAACACATACATTGAAGTGCACTCTCGCTATTATTTGTTAATAGCCGAATAATTCATCTTTCTTGCCACTTGGAACACGTAAATCGAAGTGACCTAATAAAAACCTAGGATATGGATTGTCTGCAGCACTTTGAATTTGGAACAAGCAAAAGAACACAAGCCGAATGTAAAATGAAATATAATCCATTGTTCTGCTAAAAAATGGTGCAAATCTTCAGACTTATCCCCACCCTTTCTGGTTCTTTGTTCTCTCCCTGGAATTCTGCTTCTTGCAACAAATGCCCAGGCTGTTGGAGAAGTGCCAGCTTTGCCAGACAAGCCCAGACGCAGCTCTCGCCAAAGCTCGCTTCATGGAAAAGTTGCAAGCAACAGTATCCTTTTGCTAGTCTGGGCTTTGGAGGGGGACTTGATAGGTGTGCAAGGCAACCTGTGTGCACCTTTCTTACCTGGGTTCGGACCTGGGTGACTCCAGAGCAGCTTTCGGAGAGGCTCCATTTAGCTTGTTCCTTTTGCGCACACTCATCTTCTTACCTGCCCGTTGCTAAGAGCAATCATGGATTTTGACCCATTGTTTTTGATCTATCAAAATTGATGGGCGAGTTCCAGTTGCTGCGGCCTGATGACGTGGACAAGGTGCTTGGACAAGTACGTCCCACCACCTGCTTACTGGACCCTTGCCCATCGTGGCTACTCAAGACAGCCAAGCATGGGATAGGGGCCTGGATCCTGGAGGTCATCAACACCTCTCTAAGGGACGGCCGGGTACCTGCCCCTTTAAAGGAGGCAGTAGTCCGACCGGTCCTGAAGAAAGCGTCACTGGATCCAGAGATGGCCACTAATTATAGACCGGTGGCCAACATCCTGTTCCTGGGCAAGGTGTTGGAGCGGGTGGTGGTGGGACAACTCCAAGCTGTCTTGGATGAAACTGATTATCTGGACCCATTTCAGTCCGGCTTCAGACCCGGGTACGGTACTGAATCTGCCTTGGTCGCCCTGTATGATGACCTTTGCAGGGAGAGAGACAGTTCCCCATTGGTTCTCCTGGACCTCTCGGCGGCTTTCGATACCATTGACCATGGTATCCTTCTGGATAGGCTAGCGGGATTGGGAGCAGGGGGCACTGCTTTGCAGTGGTTCCGCTCCTACCTCAACAGCCGATTCCAGAAGGTGGTGCTGGGGGACTATGGCTCTGCACCATGGCAGCTATGCCATGGAGTTCCGCAGGGATCCATTTTGTCCCCCTTGCTATTTAACATCTACATGAAACCGATGGGAGAGGTCATCAGGAAGTTTGGGCTGTGGAATCATCAGTATGCTGATGATACCCAGCTCTACCTCTCTTTTTCAACCAATCCAGGTGAGGCAGTGGCTGTACTGAACCTGTGCCTGGCCGAGGTAATGGGCTGGATGAGGGCCAACAAACTGAAGCTCAATCCAGACAAGATGGCGGTCCTGTTGGTAGGCGGTTCGGGCTTTGGGGTGGGGGACCTGGACCTTGTCCTGAATGGGGTAGCACTCCCTCTGAAGGACAGGGTCCGCAGCTTGGGAGTGCTCCTCGACCCGGAGCTGACTTTGGAAGCTCAAGTGTCGGCGGTAGCGAAGAGCGCTTTCCATCAGCTTCAGCTAATCTATCAGCTGCGTCCCTACCTGGAAGACGACTGCCTAGCAACAGTGATGCATGCATTGGTAACTTCCCCATTAGACTTCTGTAACGCGCTCTACGTGGGGCTGCCCTTGGAAGATGGTCCAGATACATCAGATGGTGCAAAACAGAGCTGCCAGGTTGCTGACGGGGACTGGGCATTGTTCTCACATAACTCTAGTCCTCCGTCAGCTTCACTGGCTCCCCATTGAAGTCTGGGCCCAATTCAAGGTGCTGGTCATTACCTATAAAGCCCGAAACGGCTTGGGACCTGGTTATCTAAAGGAGTGCCTGCGTCCATACTTGCCCTCCTGCCCCCTAAGATCTGCGGCAGAGGCCCTTCTCCGGGAGCCCTCCATGAAAGATATTAGGAGGGCAAGTACCCAGAGGAGGGCCTTCTCTGCGGTGGCGCCCCACCTATGGAATGCGCTCCCCAGAGAGGTCCACCTGGTGCCGTCATTATTTGTTTTTCAGTGCCAGGTCAAGACCTTTTTATTTAAACATTATTCTAATTAATTGTTTATTTATTGGTTTTAATTTATTATTATTATTATTATTATTATTATTATTATTATTATTATTATAACATTTCTATGCCTGGATGTTTCCAGTTTTTCTATATTTGTATTGTTATTTATTTGTTGGAAGCCAGGCTGGTAAGTACAAGGGAGAAGACTTCTTCAGTGCTGGTCTCTCACCTCTGGAACTGGCTCCTGTCTTGGGTTTGACAAACATCTTTGTGGGTGCCCAAGAAGGTTCTGAAGACTTGTGTGCTTTTGCTAGCCTTTCCATTGTCTGTGATCTATCGATTTTGTTTGTTTGTTTGTTTATGTTTTTCTTTGCTGTCCCATTACTAAAAGTCTCTGGATGGCTTACAAAGAAAGAAAACAAAAAGATTTTTTTTTGTTTTTGTGTGGGATTTTTATTGAATATTTGTTTATTGATTATTCTGTTGTTGTTTTGCATATTTTTATTGTTTTAAAGGTTCTATGCTTAAAGGCATACAAACAATTTTAAATAAATAGTCTTAAAGAATACCACTGCAGAGTGGCTGTGTTTTCCAAGAGACTGAATACAGTTATCACAGCACAGTAATACTGTGAGGTAATCAGTATTACTGCAGAGTGGCTCATTGCTTTCAGGCTATTTTATTTTGCTATATCATAGCATCAGTAATCTTCTCTTTGATTCAGCATCTCCCCCCCCACTCCAGAAAGTAGGGGTGATATTTCTAAAAGAGCAAAACCATCAACCTTTTGAACATTTCTCCAGGCATATTGGCTTTAATGTCACACTAAAGAAATGTAAAATGGAGGCAAAATGGATTTCTAAGTTGAAATACTTAAGGAACTCTCAACCTGAGATGTCAAGGAAATGTATCTTAGTCAATCTTCTACAAAGAAGCCATGTATTTTCAAAGTGTGTGCATGTGTGGAAAATGGGAGGGGGAGAAAAAAGAGCTGCAGCAGCTGAATCAGGCGTGCCCTTTCCCCCCCTTCCAGTTAATTTCACCAGAGCAGTGATGTGGGGTGTCTCACCCTTTCTTACCACGCAGTTGTTCCCATCTAAACGCACCCCCCACATACACGCTTGTCACTCCTTCTTGGGGTGTGGCTATAAGACAACAGATACGCATTTCTGTTGCATGTCCTTTTACATACAACACAAAAGCACAGACATGTATTTTTGTATGTTCCACGCAACTCCCGTGGGACCAATAGGGAGATCATTTAGAGCAGGGGAACTGAGAGACACATCAAGTGCCACTTTATCGGTCAAACTCGTAGTTCTATGCAGTCATTTCAAAGAGAACCAGAAATGTCAGAAAATCCACGCGTGTATCTGTCTTAACCTCAAGCCATTTAACCTTCCTGTTTAGTTTTGGAAAGCAGATGACAAAGGATTGCAAACAGAAAGCATCTCTTTTTTGCTTACTGCCTCTCTTGGAAAAAAACACATGACCATGCCCTATTTTCTTAACCTCATGACTAGTTCTGCTCACCGTCACCAGCTTTTAGCCCAGCTGAGGTGAGAAAAGAGCTGATGCATCTGCATGATGTCCATATCCTTGTGAGCCAGCACATGGAAGCAGAGACCTCAGGTAAGAAATCCACAGACGGTAGATAAAAATGTTTTTTTCCTCTTTTGCTGGAGTTTTCTAGATTTGCAGTGGAGCATAACTGCTGCATCAGATTTTTTTTAAAAAAATTAGCTTAATCTTCAAACAATTTATGTTTTCATTATTGCATATTGTCTTGGTGTGTAGTATGTGACAAGTGGTATAGAAATATTTAAAAATAAACTTAAAAGTTAGAGTATAAAAGGAAAAGATGCTGAGGAGGAAAAAGCAGTGCAAACAGTAGTTCTTGTAAGGGTCCTTTCAGGAAATTCCTCCCTGCATGCTTCCCTTATACAATACATTTTTCAGTGTAATTTTTTTAAAGGGGGTAGGGGCTTTTGGAACATAGTTTGCATATATAGATGGCGCAGTCTCCAGCACGAGGAGGGAGATGTTAGCGAGATCTCACTTTAAGATACTACTTACAGTCCTTAGAGTTGAAGGAAAGCAGAAACTGTTCAGAGGACTGGCAGCCACTGGGAGGATGCGTCTCCCGTCTTGCAGCAAGAATTTCACGGCAAGGAAAGGCCCTCCTGGCCTCAATGTTCAGCTGGAGGGGCAGCTGCCAAGAGCATGACTTCCCTTCCTTCAGCCCTCGGAGCCCCTGCCTGGTGCAGCAGTCGGCAAAAGATCTCTTGTTGCATCAGTTGGCCCAGAGGACCAAGGATTACTGATGTGTCTGTGCAGGCATTAAGCTGTTGCAGCCTGATCTTCTAGGTGAATGCAGCAGAGAGGCAAATGTCAGGTTTGTGAGGCTGACTTGGTTTCGTGCCAGAACCCCACAGTCCACACGAGTCAGGTGCAGCAAAGGCCGTTTGGGGAGTGGAGCCAATTGCTTAGTAAACCCCTCTCTGCCATACCAGAATGACTGTCTTACAACACATACAAATAGACATCTGAGGCACTTCAGGGGTTCTAACAGTCTAATTCAGACCTAAATATTGTTTTGTTTAAAAAAAAATCGAGTCACGGGCTCGGGCAGGTCTACAAATTGCTGAGAAGTACGCCTCTTGGCCATCCCTGCTTACAACATTGGATTAGCTATAAATCTTCAAAATAAATAAAGCAGGGTTGGGAAAGAGCTTTGCCTGAGATTCTGGAGAGGTGAGTTTAAGATAGGTTGCTGGTCAGGATTTTGCCAGGAGTAGGTTAAAAGATCCAGTGGTCTAACAATAGTGCAAGGCATCTTCTTATGCTAAAATGTTTTCTTCAAATAGAAGAGAATTCAGGTTGTGTGTGTGTGTGATGAATTACCATTGTATTTTATAAGCCCTGTCAATCCATACTGATTTTCATGTATTGGCTGTTCTGAGTGTATTTGTTTACATGTGCACGGAGAGGTCATATGCTTGATGCTGTCTTCTCGGAGTGCTTCCATCGGGCTGCAGACCTGTGCTCTCGCTTCCCTCTTAGCTTTCCTTGGAGAAAACCCAACCTGGGAGAGGCAATACGAGAGTCTCCTGACTCTGGAGGGCCTGCAAGCAGTAGTAGACCAGAGCCTGGCCAAAGTGGACCAGCTGAGAGAAGGTGACGTTGGCTAAATGACTTTGCTCGCGCATATGTAACGGTGGCTGCTGTGGAATAGTTACGTCTATCATTTGTGTTCTGTTATCTTTTAGTATTCCATTTGGTTCTGTTTATCATTTCATTACTTGGATTCAGTTAACTATTTAAACTTAGATTTAGTATGGTGTTAAGCAGAGTTGTGATCATGTGGCCACCGTTAATATGCGGGTGGAATAAGGACGAGTGGTGTGTAGGTCAGTAGCCGATAGATTTATTTACGGGGGCCCTTTGTGATCGAGTTTATTTTATTGTTTTTAGTGATGGAAGTTTCTGCAGGATGTTGTAATATTATTATGAGCACCTATATTTTAGCATTGCTTTACTAAATAAAATAAGAGATACGGGATGCCCTCGGGCTGCCCCAATGCCCTCTCATTTTGCCTGCTCACCCCCCACTGTTAGACATGCCCACTTAGTTCCAGCACTTGCCTCGGAAGACCTAACGGGGTTTATGGCGCCCATCCCCACTTGGGCTGCCCTCCACATGTTTCAGAAATGGGCTTCCGTCATTCCTAACTAGCATGGCCGGAGGTCAGGAACGCTGAGAGCTGTAGTCCCAGCACGGGGAGAGTACAGGATAGGGAAGGTTGCCTTCCATTTGCAGCATTTCTGACTTACGTTTTACTATATTATCTGCTTTTCTGAATTAATTTTTTTATTTGCAACATGTGTTACAAAACTCTGGAAAATGCAGACTTTACTGTCGGATTGCTTTTCAGGGTGTCTGTGGATTTAGTCCACTTGCCTTTGAACGTGGATTCTGCACGTTCTTCACACATGCACCCTGGGTGCCCGAGACTGACCCACAGATTCGCATTCTTGCACAACGACATGGTCACCGTGTGGCTGGTGCTGGAGGTCGGAGTAGATGGCCCAGGAGGCCCCTTCTGACTCGCTCTGTTCCTATGGCCTTCCCCGCCCCAGACTGTGGTGGTGGAAGCGGTGGCTCCGTCAGTGGCAGGAAGGGGTTCAGCAGTTCCCTGGAGCAGAGCCGTGCCACTGTCCCTTAGGCAGGGCGCCTGTGAGGATTGTCCAGGGCCCGAGTCAGCAGGCCTTCGCATCGCGGCTCCTTGGGAGGAACAAGCAGGCGAGGGCTCTTGCCCCCAGGCCTCGCTCGTGGCCTTAGCAAGGACATGAGGCTGGCCTCTCTGGGCCGCTGGACTAGCGCAGGAGTGCAGAATTCCTTTCTTGAAGGGGGGGGGGGGCAGACTGCATGCCTGTGGCCGCTCTGCCTGCCCCCCTGGGCACCATCCAGAGGAAAGCAGGTGACCTTCCCCGTGGGGGCAGAGTCCCTGCCACGAGCTTCAGCGCAGAGCAGAGAGAGCAGCGGGATGTGCTCGGGTGGTGGGCATTCCTGCAAGATTCCCCGCAGGCCGCCCGGGGAACCCCACTACTCCCCTGGCCTAGATTCCTCATGCTGCCTCGTTGGAAACATTTGGGCAATGAAGACATAGGTGCCGTTCAGGCAAATGTCAGGGCGACCTGCAGGCAAAGCAAGGGGGTGGAAGCCAGGCTGCAGCTCAGAGGTCCAGTGCTGGAGCACCCTGACGCACAGCTGCCCAGCCTTGGCTTCTGAGGAACCTCAGCGAGGGCCCCACCCCACCCCACCCCACCCCCAGCTAATAAGGGGCATTGGCAGACTGTTCTCACCACCAAGGCGTGCTTCCTCACTTTCCCCGGAAGTCTGCCTTCCTGCAGCCTCAGCTCAGTAGAGCAAATCCTACTGTTTGGGCAGTGGGGAGCAGGTCCTTGTCCTCTTCCATGTGAGGGACCCTCAGAGATCGGAAAAGAGCCGTTGTGTCTATCCTCCAACTTAACAAACCATCTCTTCGTACTTTCTCGCCCTGACAGCGATGGAGTCGTATTCCAAGCTGCTTGCCCCTCCGTCAGCTTGCAGCCAGAAATGTTCCTGCGCGTGCTGTGCTTCCCTTGGGAGACAGAGATGCTGGGACATAGAAACGGTGGGGCCACCACCCCTGCTTTTTTACTCCAGCTTGAAAGAACTGGAGGACATGGAAGTCTTAAAACTTAAGGTGGCGATGCTGCACAAGCAACTGGAAATACAGAAGGTAGCTTTCCGCTGGGTCTACATTGGTGATGGTGACAGAGGAGGCTCGCGGTGCCTTCTTATGGCTTGGCTGGTTTTGTGGGAAGCTCGGGAACCACTTAGTGGAGGTGGCTGGGGGAAAGGCAGTCAGGTGACCCTAAGGAGTGTGCTGGATCTCTCTCCCACGTGGAGTCAGTGTATTCCTTGCAGTTCTCAGCCTCTGCGGAAATGTTCTGTCTTGGAGGGACACACAGAGATTGGCACTCTGTCCCCTGTGTGGTTTGGGGAACCACAAATGCATTCAGTTTCAAATGCCTCCTGAACAGATAATCTATTTACACAACTTTCCCTGGTTTATATTTGATTAGCATTTTTCTGCTCCATTTCATTGTTTTCTGTTGCTGTTTTATTTTTTTTTCCTGTTTGTGTATCTGTTTATTGTAGCTGTAATTGTTTGAGTATATTAATTTTTAAATATTTAATTTAAATATCCAGCTAAATATTTTAGTATTGAAACCTCTTAGAGAAATTGTTAAATCAGGTGGTATACAAGAATTAAGTATATATAAATGTATGTTAATATATAAATGCAAATATACATGTGTATATTATTTCCATACTATCCACCACCTGAAACTCCCTGGGTGGTGCATAGCAATTAATAAAATGCAATAAATTACAGTATAAAATAGTAAAATATTATGGTATGTTTATCATTTACTATCAAGAATTTAAAATCAAATTTTACATGACTTCAGCAACTAAGACAGGTTAGGACAACTTAGGTCTGTTAAAACTACTGACCCCGCAGCTGGACTAGTTAGACCCTGGTCTGACCCAGCATGACTGCTCTTTATCTTGGCACCAGGTGGACCTTAGTATAAAGATTGTTCCAAAATCGGTGGGCTGACATGGAAAAGGCCCCTTCCATTCATTCATTCATTCATTCATTCATTCATTCATTCTATTTAGATCTTAGCTCTTTCTCCTGCTGCTCTCACTCTCTCATGCCCTCAACAACTGCCCTGTGAGGTAGGTCGGGTTGAGAGTCTGTGACTGGCCCAAAGTCATGGCATGGCTGAGCAAGGGCTAGATCCCAGATCACCCGAGTCCCAGTCGTGTGCTCTTAATCACTACACCACACTGCCTCCCATGCTTCCACCAACTGAGCCTGCCTTAGAGGTGCCTTTAGAGTTGTCGAGGTTAGTCGAAAGTAAAATGTTTTCCTCTTTGTGTGCAGGTCATGGAAGCTGAGCTCCTCCCACTTCTGGAACCGGGAATCGTTCAGGAAGGCTCCACGGCATCCTTGTTCCGTGCTGTTTACACACTGCTGTGTGAAGGGGGCGTGCGCTTCCCTGTGCTTGTCCGTGATGAGGAGCCGCCCAGCTGACTGGGGGCCTGTCCGGGATGTCCGGCAACGTGCACAGTAAGGAAGGCACTGGGCCTCTTTCATGAGCAGCCATGCTTGATCTCAGGTTGAATAGCAACCTTTTCCCTCCCGTGCATTTACGAAACAAGTAAAATTACTTCATACTTCTGGAATCTTCCCCTTGCCTGAAAGGAAGTTGAGGCGGGCTCTCTCTTTACTTCTCTCGAATATATTTATTTAATAAAGTTATGTTCCACTTTTCATTGCGATATCAATGTGCTTACAGAAACTATAAAAATATAGAATATGATTTATTACATCAAATTTATGGCCTGGCTTTTTTCCCCTTGCAAGGAAGAAGAGGCAGCTTCTCTGATCATCTTCCTTTCCGTTTTATCCTTCGGCAACCCTGTGAGGTAGGTCAGGGCAAGGGTCAGTGGTCACCTGGTGCCTGCGTTGGGGCCAGAACCTTGACCTCCTGATTCCCAGTCCAGCACTCTTACCACTACTGTCAGAAAGAGAACCATTTTAAGAGCCTGCGAATAGGTTCTGAAGTACTGCCCCCTGCTCCAGTTGGCTGTGGCTGGCGGAAGTAGTAGGCCAAGAGAGCTGGAGAGCTCAAGTCGTCCATCCTGAAATGGAGTATCCTGGACATAAGCATGACTGGCTTAGCTGGCCCCTGAACAAGAGTGGTCCACAGAGATGAAAGGGTGATTTGGAAGAAGGAAGCAGGAAGGGGAAAAATGTAACAAAGAAAATTCCTTAGCCAAAACGAGGAGGGGGCTGAGATCAGATAGCAGGACACTTGCTCAGAGACCTCATGACTATTAACAGGCACACCCTGCATAGGAAATAAGCTCATTATAATTCACCTGGGAGGGACAACGAGGGAGGGAAGAACAGGTATTAGGGTGGCACAGGATGGCCTTTCACGTTTATGGAATTGGCTTGTTTGCTGAGCTACAAAAGTCTTGAGACTTGTTGCAAATACGAGACGGGATAGAGCTGTTTCAATAAATACAGAAAAACGAACGAAATGCCTGACTCAGAAGGAGTCTGTTTTCTCACCCTTTGCAAGGCGTGGGACGAGCCTTGAGCAATGAGCTGCAACACCCACCCACGCAGAGAACGGGCACACAGCCACACTCCACGGAAGGTGTGACGGAAGTGACTGCAGCTGGAGATCTGGGGAAGGGGAACGCCACGATCATGTCACTGTTGAGAAGACCCACTTGAAACGAGTTAGAGCTGGTTGCACAATCACAGCTGCCAGTTTCCTCAAACAAACAAATTCAGAGTGATGCCCCCTCGTACCCTAAACCCCAGTCCGAGCATAGAACTGAACAGTGGGACAACACAGGGGTGCTCGCTTGGACTGCGGGGAAGCTTGCATTTTGCATTTAATGTCAGTGTTCGCTGCACTGCTCTGGCAAGCGCTGTACATCATCCACGATAAAGAGCTCTCACATCAGTGGGGCAGAAAAGAGAATGCTCTTGCTATTGTGCTCCTTCCTTGAATTCAGGGAGCTCGCTTGAATTGATGGGGAAAACAGACACTTCCATTCGAGCACGTTCATGCGTCTACTCTGCGTAAGACCTTTGCAGCTCCCTCAGTTCAGGGCGCTCATCTGAAAGCGGAAGAAGACACGCCTCTTTTGGTGGGGTTGATTTGGCTCCCGTTCCTGTCACGGGGCCTGCCAGTGCACTTGGCGCAGGACACAATCCGTCAACATCCTCCTGACTGAAAGAGCCAGGAAGCAGCTGGGTTCACCAGTCATCGCATCTATAATGTTCCCACAGAGAGCTCTGATTCTCAATTTTTGTACTTTACTTGGGTTTGGTTGAGCCCTCATTCTAAAATCTAGTATTTTCAGCCACCTCAGCTTGTTCTCAGCCCATGTTGAGTTATTCAGAAGGCCCAATAACACTGGCTTAGAAAAAGGAACACTTCATAAAGAACTATTACCTTTTTTTTCTTCTAAGTTTAAAGAAAGGTTGAACTTGATTCATCGTTTTTGATCCATTTTTGTGACTTTAAAGGCATTCTAGCCCAAAGCCATGCTTTGGCTGAAAAGCCTTCTCTGACATGGTACCACATTAAAGCTGGATCAGAGCATGGAAAATAGCAGTGCTTTGCAACGTTTGGCATTGACAGCGGTGACATTTTAATCGGTTCTCCTGTTCCTGTTATTTCTATTAAGTCCCAGCAACTGTGAGTGTTGCTCTGGCAAAAGCATCTTAGTCATCAGTCAGAGGAATGTTAGGGGGGAAGCTGAAATGTGAGGCCACCAACACAATTCTATTGTTCAATATCTAGGGTTGCCAGTTCAAAATGTTCAATTTTTATCTTTTGTTCTGTCAGAGGACATTAAATTAGCTCTCTAGGTTTTTTTTTCTTTTTTCTTCATTTTATTCTGCTTGCTGGGCCGTCTAGACATTCTCTGCTGTGTTTTAAAAATTTTCATCCTGTAAAGCAAGCAAGTTAAGGCCCACACCTGCATTTCAGTACAGAAAGTATGGCACCTATAAAGCTGGCCATATTTAAGCCTCACATTGTGGTTATGTGCAGAATTTGTACCCCACTCCTTTGTACAAAAATAGTTTCCTGAGTGGCTCACAACTAAAAGAGCTGCTATACAAAGGATAGAGGGGAAAGGAAAAGGGCAATCTTAAGCATTTGTTCTTAAGGTTGCCGTTCTTACACCTAGCTGTCATGGAAACAGCACAAGTAGCCTGATGGAATGACTGCTGCCAAATGACATTTAGAGAGAGAAAAAGGCAGCTGGTGTCTCAGCACAGGCAATGTCCAGCTTCTGCTCTGTGACCAGTTTTAGTAACTGCTACTTTGCTTCAGCTAAAGTGTCCCTATGAATACACCTATTGCAGGAGAGGATCAATAGTAGTACAACTTGTCTTTCATGGAAACTTGCAGGAGCCAGTGAGTGGCCCCTGGGTTGAGAGGGAAGGAGGGCTCTCTGAGCAGGGAAGCTTATGGGACTCCCCTTCCCACATCTTCCTCCAGCCAAGTTCCCTTCCACTGGCTGCCATTTTGCTTCTCATGACTGAGGCTTGGCTGGCAGGCAGCGATGCGTATGTGCATCCCGCACATAATCTGAAGCCAACTCAGTGGCACAGCCTCTGCTGCCGGTGGGAGGCTGCCCTGTCATCCCCCCTTTACCTGCCCCCTTGTGGAGGGCACCCAATTTGTAAAGTATTAACACATACAGATTTAAACCTCAAGGCAGTGTTTTTTAAAGAAATGCATCTTGCAGTATTCCATATACTTAGGATGGCAACTCTGCCACCTGATAGGCCAGATTCCATTTGTTAAAATGCTTCTTAGCCTGTGCATATGGCCCCATATTCCCGAGAACTGCAGAGGCAGGTGTCTCTTCTGTGCTGTGGTCAAAATGGAAATCCCCAGCTAACAGATGCCAGAGTGGGGTGGATATGGGCTAGACACCTAAAACTATACGACTCATATTTTACTTATTCAAAGTTAATATTGGAACTTTACAACTACTGTTCTGCTAAAAATTCTGAAGAAGATGTCTGCAAAAGAAAGTATTCTTTCAAAGAAATGAGAAATTGCAGATGAGCACCATGTCTTTAATGACAATGGACGACTTGAGTGTTTCAAGCAAGGATAAAGCAGTTTGCCTGCCTTGTCTTGAAACTGTCACCCTATTGAAGGAGTACAATATGAAAAGGTTCTTTAAATCTTGCCACAAGAGCTACTCAATATATAAAGGATAGGTGTGAGTAAACAAGATAGATTCTCTTTAAAAAGCAATGTTTTTGCGGCAAAATAGTTTTAGAAAGCTTATTGAGGAGAAACTGTTGACTGTGAGGTCCAGCTATCATGTTGCGCAGTGTATTGCTGAGAGTGGAAGGCCACTCACTGATGGTGAATTCGTTAAGTGCATGGTTAATGTAAGGAGCAAATGCACCTGTATCTTGTATTAGTTGCATCAGTTTATCTGCATCTGTAGTCACCAGGCAAGCTGAACAGCTAGGAGAAGAGCGGCATATGATTGTCAAGGCAAACGGTTTTGATTCTTTTTCCTTTGACATTAGATGAGTGCAATGACATTATGCACACTGTTCAGCTACCAATATTTATCGGGATAGGTTCCAGCTTCAGAATTCCAGAAGAATTGTGTGCACTGCAGAATTTGAAAGGCATGACAACTGCAGAAAACACTTTCTTGAAGGTGTTTACATAAGTAGAAAATCTTGGTCTGAGTTGGGACAAATGGAAAAGCATCACAACTGATGGTGGGAAAAATATCGTGGGAAGTAAAACTGGTGTAATTGCAAGAAGCACTAACGATGTAGTGAAATTAAATGGTACACTTCCCATGCAATTTCAGTGCATCATCCAGCAGTAAGCCTTGTGTTCAGTGGGATTCTTCAGTGGGAAAGTGGGATGCATGTTGTATCCAGCATTAACTACATCAGTTTCCTCTTTTCCCTCAGAGACAGATGCAGAGTATGGAGGTGTATTCCACCATGCAGAAGTCAGGTGGCTTAGCAGAGGCAAGGTCCTCATCATGAAGGTGAAGTCTTAACGAGAAATGAAAAGGTTACGAAGTACTTTCTGACCCTCGATGGATGTTTGATTTGACTTTCTTAACTAATATCACAGAGCACCTGAACACATGGAATCTAAGGACTGGGCTAGAGGGAGCAGGGAAGTCCCGTTCGCCCAGCCCAGTTGCAAGCTCCAGCCCCGCATCCGTTCCACATTCTCCTCCTGCACTGGGCAAAGCAGGCTGCTGGTATTTCTGCTGCTTCCTTCTCCACCTCCAACGCACGGAGATACCAAGATGCTTTGGCAGAGCAAATCGGGGAGGGCTGTGGGCCCACTGTTGCACCGAAAATAGCAGGGAAGTGCCAGTGACTAACGTCAACATCCAAGGAGCTTTTGTTGTTGGGGAGGAAGGTGGCATGGGGTGCTATTTTCAGAGCTGCACTTCCTGATGCTTCTGTGTTATTAAGACAGCCTTCCATCTCTCCGCAACTTGACTCATGTACATTAAAGGCAGGCAGAGGCCTTCTAGGATGTGAGCAGAGGATTACATTCTCTTTGGCTCCTGTTTTGATCAGCTCCAAATAGTGCAGAGGGCTTCAAAAGAGGGCGAAAGAAGAGGCAGAGTGTCACGAAAAAATCCATGGGCCAATATGAGCATAGAGGCCAGTATGAAAACACTTCTGCTTGCTTGCGGGTTGCGAAGTCGCGTCCGACCCATCTCAGCACAAGTGGGGGATACTAGGACCAGGCCTGCTGTGTGCTTGCTCGGTCGGTGCCCCAGGACCTGCCTGGGGACAGGCCACTTGGCTTGAGCTTGAGCTCAGCCATGGGCCAAGCGGCCTTTCGTACAGAGAACAGTTGCGAACCAAGGGCTGTCCTCTGCCAGCTCATGAAACAGCAGTGTGTGTCCTTGGGACCTCCTGTGTTACGTCTCCGTAGGCCCTGCATGGCTGAAGTCACGCTGGAACTAGCGGGCTGCCTGGCTCATTCTTTCAGCCTCTTCAGCTGCGAGGACATGAGAGGCCACTTTTGATCAAGGAGGGCCTTCACCGCCCTGCTGCAAGCGCACCCTTGTTTTGATTCTGCGATCTGCGCTGAAGCCGGAGCACAGAAAAACCAGGGGGAGTGCTCCAGGGGAACGGCAACAGAGCCGCAGCACAGAGTGCTGTTCTGCAGGGCACCCGTCAGCCTCTTCCGGGAGACTCTGGAGGTTCCCCTTCCTTCAGGGGTACTTCCTGGTGCAGTGACAGGAAAGCTTCCTTTGCTACATTTCCATGATTTCTATGAAAAAGATATGGAAATGTTTAAATAGCAGTTCACAAACGTTCATACCATAACGAAATGGAAATATCAGAATGAGGGAGCTTTGGAAAAGGCAAGGACCCGTGATAATTCTGTGCTTCCACTAGAGGGCTCCCGAGTCTCATAATCTTGGCTTCCTTCCGTTGTCCCTCCCTCCTGCTATCACACCAAACATTGTATAAGGGATGTGAATACTTGACGCTGGGATTTTTTGTTCCAACACACAAGTGTAGAGTAATGCACATGGGCCAAAAATTCCCAATTTCAGGCAAACTGATGGAACCTGAGCTAGCGGGGACTGAGCATGAAAGGGGTCTTGGGGTAGCGGTGGACAGCCCTGAAAAACCTGCCCCAGCGTGCAGCTGCTGTGAAGAAGGCAAACGCCATGCTGGGCATAATTAGGAATGGAACAGAACAGAAATTATTTCCCTAATTCAAATCTCTGATGCAACTGCACTTTGAAATATTGTGTTCCGTTGTGGTTTCCTCACCTGAAGTACGACATTCTTGAGTAGGAAAAGGTACAGAGGGCAACAAAAATGGTCATGTGGCAGGAGCAGCTCTCCTGCGACAAGCAGCTACAATTGTGACTGTTCGGCTTAGAAAAAAGGCGAGGAAAGAGAAGCACAATGGAGGTGTTTACAGTAATGCATGGTGAAGAAAATGGAGACATTTCCCCCTCTCCCGTCGGTAGAAGCTGGTTAATGAGAGGTTTAGGACAGATTAAAGGAAGTACTTCACACAGAGTATAGTTAAACTGAGAGATCTGCTGCCATGAGAAGCTGATCTGGATGCCATTAAAAAGGGAACTGGGCAGATCCATGAGGGAGGAGGCTGCCTGTGGCCACTAGCCTTGCTGGCCGTGGGCGCCCTCCTTCCCCCGAGGTGGCCTGCCTGCACCAGTGGCTGAGGAGCCTGGGCAGGAGGAGGTCTGGCGCCCTTCCTGCTGGAGGGATCCTCTGGGCAGCTGGCCTGCCACTGGGAGTACGGAGCCCGGGCTACCGGGATGCAAGTCTGGTCCAGCGGGTCTGTTCTGCACTGTGCCATGTAAATCCTTCCACCTTGGTGGCTGCTTTGTGCAGGGGGTTGCAGCTAGGTCAGGTGTTCCCTTCCCTCTCTCTGCAGCATGAGTCACACAAGCCCAGCTGTGCTGATGTTGTTTGCTCTGCGTGGGGAGATGGGAGTAGGATGCACCAGGAATAGGTTTGTGCTCCTAATAATAAAAGAATACTTCCTTACATTGCTCGCAACAGCAAATGAGGACACCAGATGCGAGGAAAGGGTTGATTTCTCCGTCTTTCATAAGAGGAATTTTTCAACTACTGTACTTTTAATCAGCCAAGATGACCAGCTGCACCTGCTAAAATCAGTTCTTCGTGTCTGTTAAAGATTCAGTAGCCCGTTTCCTTTGCACTGGGGCATCTTAACCAAACTCGGCCAGCGAGAAATGCAGTTTGACCTTTCGCAAACCACAATATGGTATGTTTGTGACACGGAAACAACCCGGAGTATCTGGAAGCTCGCTGCATTTTGTCATTTCCTTTTTGCTACAGTGTCCCTCCAAGGCAGCCTTAGTATGAATAGTACACAGGGAATCTGCAACAAAGTGTTGCAGTATGGAGCGCTTCTGCCCCATGTCCCAGCCAGTCACTGCATATACTCAATCCCCATCGAGCCATTTAGGGATTCCTATTCCCTTTAAGGCTTCCCTGTCTCCCAAGCCAGGTGTTACCTCCCTCTTGCCTGTGGATGGTGCTGCTTTGGGTTCATGAAGATAGACTTACACCCACAGGGTATAAGACACCCCTCTCCCATATGCTGGAAATCTCCTGAAATACTGCTCAGTATTATGCAGATCTGATAAGGTTTCCTCTCTCCTGGTAGCCCGTTTGAGCACATAAGTGCACCATCCAAGGCATGGAAAGAGAAGGAAGCAAGGACGGACGGACGGACAGGAAGAGTCCTACAGCTCCTACCAAGCTCCGGCCAGCAAAGGATTTCAACTTAATCATCTATTCTCCTTGTTTTCTCCCTGCCAGGAAAAGTTGCAAAACTGATCTCTTTCCAGCACATTCATTTGTCCTTCAGCATTTGTGGAAACACAGAGATGCACCTCGTTTCTTATGACCCCCCCTGCTCCTGTGCGCCTGACAGCTGCACATACTTTACTCTCCATGCTGTGAAAAGCTTCACCCACTGACTCTTACTCACCGAGCTACTGCCAAAGTCACAGGAGCAGATAGGTCTGGCCGCTGTTTGCTGGTCAGATAGCAACCCCTAGGCTTGTACAGCATATTAAAGCAAATTCCCTAGAGTGGTTCGCCTGGCGCAGTCATTATATGCTTTTCAGCACCAGGTCAAGACATTTTTATTGACCAATATTTTAACAAATAGTGATTTTAATTGTGTTAGATTTATTTAATTTATTTTAAATGGATTAGCTTTATGCTCAGTGTGGAACAGTTAACTTATTTTATTTAGGACTGAAATGTTGTTGTAAGCTGTCCAGCGACGACAGTAATGGACGGCCTACAAATTCTCTAGATAGATAGATAAATAAATCCTGTATACCACTGGTACTCATGCAGCTTTCACCCCTACCTAGGTGATCGTCTTTTTTTCTTTTATTTGTGGGCGATTCTGACTTACTGCTGGTAAATTCCAGCATTGAGATCACCATTTTTATTTATTTTAGATTATTTCTATACTGCTTTTCATTTAAAAAAATACTAAGTTGTAAAACAATACAAAGGAGGAGGAGAGAGGGAAGGTGCAGATCTTCTAGTCATCCACGGATGTGGCTTCAGTTCTTTACTTGGCTTCCTGCCTCCCCACATAGCTAGCAGAATGAATTGTGGAAGTAATTAGCAAATATAGTCGAATTTATATACTTCATTCAGACCATAAGATGTGATTTTCCTTGACACCTCATTTGGATTTTCCAAGCACAGACTGTTTTTCTCTTCCATTTCTGAAGGATCTGGCAAAAGAAAGGGAAGTCACCAAGCTGGACTCTTGCAAAAGGATGTCCTGGGAAACTTTCCCAGACTTCCCACCCTCCCCGAGGCACTGAATTCTTCACCTTTGTACAGGGTTTCTTGTTTTCTCTCTTTTGGATTCTACACAGGCATGGAATACAAGGCTCCTACTTTCCTTCTTGAATAGAATCAGTTAAGCTTGAGGTTTTCTTTCTTTCTTTCTGTTCTCTTGCAGTGTCAACCACATCGATCGCTTTCACAGACTTCCATCTGGTCTGTCACACTTTCCTCCACCATTCACGAAAATGGGTTGTGTTCCTCGAAAGAGAAATGGAAATGGACGCACTAAAAGGGGCGATGACGGTTATGGCAGTGGTTAATTGGGGAGCGCCACCCATGGTCCCCACGTTCTTTCCATCGGCAGGAAGGCGGAGATCAAAGCAGACCAGCGCAGAAGCCCCCAGAGGGCCAGGGCTGGCGAGCCTTAGAGGCATGCGGACGGGAGCACACAGGCACTGCGTGTCCTTTGCGCACAATGAGCTCTGGCGTGCCAAAGGGGATGCGAAGGGTTTGGAGTTAGAAGAACGGGAGCTTTGCCCAGGAACCAAGTGTTTCTTGTGGGGCATTCTGGACTTGGCAGATGCCAAGGACCCCCCCCCCCCCGCCGCACTGCCCTAAATCTTTTTACCAGGGGCCTGAATTGATCCCATAGAGCCTGGAGTGTCCCAATCCAAGTTTTTCACCCTCAGCTTATTTGTCATGCAGCTACATTTTCAAGGGAGGTTGCAGCTGGAGAAGGAAGGGTTAACTTCTTCTCCCAAGCTGCAACAAGCCCACCCCCCTTGCTCACATCTTTCCCTGCATGAGAATTAAGTTTAGGGGGAAAAACTTTGTCCATCAGTTTGGGATGATTTTGGTTGGAGGAAAGTCAATTGAAGAATTTATTTCTTGGAGACAAGCTGGATAAGAAATAAATTCACTGGCTTTTCCTCCTGGTAATGTTAAAAAAATCCTAGTAATTATTGCTGAATTGCATATATAAATCAGTATGTGCAGATGTTATGTTGGCCCATGTCCTGTAGGCCTTTGTCCTGAATCTTCCAAGTGCCCAGCTTGCCCCTGAAGGTGGATAAAACATAGGTCTGAACCAGGAGTCGGCAACCTTTAACACTCAAAGAGCCATTTGGACCCATTTCCCACAGAAAAGAAAACACCAGGAGCCGCAACACTCTTTTGACCTCTAAAATGAAAATTACACCGCATATATCGTCTTTTTACCATTATGCTATGTATAAAAAGACTGTATGTGCTGCATTTATGAAACAGATCAGGGGCTGTTCTGGCACGTGCAGCAGATTGGGGGCTGTGAGCGACGGAGCTGCAGCAGGGGCATTCAAGAGCCACGTGTGGCTCTGGAGCCGTGGGTTGCTGACCCCTGGTCTAAACCCCTCCAGGACAGACAAAGGCCAGGCCTGCATCTACTGCTGCATCTCTGATTCTTTAAGAGCAGCACCCACAAAATGCCTTTCCTTCGTCTGCCCTACATTATACTCCTGAAATTGAGAAAGCTTGGCTCACCAGGAGTGGCTTCCAGTGTGGAGGCCTGTGGGCTCCATCCAGTTCTCTGGAATGCAAAACCAATTCCAGGGCCCAGCATTTTTTATTCTAAGCAGTCATCCTAGAATGTCTTTCAGCAGGCTCCAACTGGTAGAACTTGCAGTTCAGTAACAAAACAAAGGAGATTCTTCAAGCCTGATCTACATAATCATTATTCGCATTATTGTTAATTAGCTTTATGTGTCGTTGCCTCTGCAAAGAAAGCAGTTTTGTACAGGAGATAGGTTGCTAGGCTAGAACTGAAGAAACCCAGGTTCAAACCCTTAATAGCAACAAGATTTGGAGATTCAGCTGCCCAGAGAGTCCTTTGGCTAATGGGCAGGGTAGACATTGAATAAATAAGTAAATTCACTGGCTGACCTTGGTCCAGTTAATCTCTCTTAGTCTAACCTACCTTGCAAGTTTGTATAGAGAATTAGTGGGAGGAGAGGAAACCATATACATCTCAGGAACTTGGAGTGGAACACTGGAGTAAATAAACGACTATGGCAATCCAAGCTGTACAACCAACATGTCAACCTGTACATGTCAATCCAAGTTGTACAACCAACATGCACAGAGGCAACCTCTACCCCCTCCAGGCCACCGTGGGTCACACCAGACCTGCACGGCAGTCCAGGGCCACCTTGACAGCATGATGGGCCCCGAACTACTGTTAATTTTGGAAGTTTTCCAGTTTTCCAAGGATTAACATACACAGATTAGTATGGGGCCCGCGGGCAAGCGCCCATCAGGCCCATGCGTTCAGACGGCCCTGAGGCAGCCTTTCTCAGTCCCCTCGCCAGGGCAGCTGGGCCACAGTTTGAGAGCCTGGCACGCCCCATGAATGAATCCTCCCCCCCCCCCCCCCCCCCCGCCAGCATTTCCTTCTCTTGCTTGATTTCCAGGACCTTCTTTTGTCTGCCCAGATGGCCTGGCCTTAGTCCACTGCAGGACCTGCAGAGCTCTGCAGCAGAAGGCAAGGAACTAATCAAGGGACCCCGCTGTGCAGTGTTCTGCTTTGGAGCACCCCAGGGGCATGTGCCAATTTGCACAGTTAATTGGGGAACACTCCTTGCCACAAGCCGTGGCTGCAGTGGGACGCGCGGCTCTGTTGTTCTAGCAGGCCTCTTGTAAATGGCAGTTTTGCACTACTGAACACACGAGAGGACAGGCATCCTTGGCCATCATTGACGTTCCTTGTGAAGATGGCAGAAGGAAGTCATATAGGACATATTTAGACAGAAAAAGGCCTGAAACTCCCAGCACGCCTCAGCCAGCCATTTTCCTAAATAAATAGGAATGTACCATTAAAGTGTTTTGACCTTGCAGCTTAGTTATACAGATAAAGCTCCCAGCAGGACGTTGCAGTCTGTAGAACAGGACCGTCTTTGCTCTCATCCTGTAAAAAGGTACAGCACACAAGGAAAACAGGTGGGGAAGGAAAAGGAGTGGCTTGCCTCCCCTCTCATTTGCTTTTCTCCCTCTTTTTGTTTCTAGTCCTGTATCTCTTGCATGAGGTGTCAGGATCTGGGCAGCTCCAGGGCTCCACCTGCTGGCCAAGCACCAGAATAAGAACTCTGGTAATTACAGGATTAATCTCAAACCCTGCCCCAGCCTTGATGAACACCACCTGGGAGCCGAGGCAGGGCACTCCTTCCCTTTTCTTCAGTTGGGTCCCTACTTTGCAGCAGCAGTTTAAAGGATAATTCTCTGCAAATCCAAAAATATCTGTGCAGGTCCACGGATGTGAGAAGGCAGCAACCATCCAAAATTGATTAGGACCATTTCACACCTGCAATGGGAGCAAGACCCACTGAATTCAATGGGACCTACCTCTGAATTCAATGGGACCTACCTCTGACTCAGCATTGCCAGAATTGCATGGTAAGTTGATTTTTAGCTGGCTTTTCTACTTAGAGTGGTGACAAGAACGTTATGGAATGGCTGCTCAAGAAATTCTTCAGTCTTCTTTGCCTGTTGTTAAATGGGCAATTGAGATCATTTTATTCTGACTCTCGCAACAACAGTTTTTGGTTGTGTGTTCACGATGGTTAAGGATTGGTTTTGATGTTGTTGTTTTTAAACAATGTTCTGGTTAAGTGTTATGATGCTAAGCTATCGCTATCATTGCTAGCTATTTTACTATTAGCTTGGCTTGCTTGTTTTTTGCTGCAGTGGGTGAATTTGTAAGCTGGAGTTTGGTTTTATCGCAGGAAGGCAGAATAGAGCAGAAGGGGTGTGTCTGATTGCCCATCTGTCCAAGAGCATGAAACAAATTCACTTGGAACCTGGTATGCATCCGAACAGGACCCAGTGGGCACGGCACCCCCCACGCCCCCCATAGGGTTACTCTGCATTTTCCAAGCATTAGTTTTCGGTAGAACGAGTCCATGTGGGTAGAGCTTGCCGCTTCAGCCGCAAGGGGCAGCCTCTCCTATCCAGCACATAGCTTTACAGCCCGAAAACCTCAGAAGCCAGGTGAGACGAGTGCCCTGCGGAGCGCAGTGATGTGCCTGCCTCTTCCGCTCTGCTGCCGCTCAGGTAACCCGAGGCGTGGGCGCCCTGAGCATTGGCTCCACTCGGACGGGGCGTGCGCCATGAGCCCCGCTTAGAGCGCCGCCTGCGCTGCCCTAAGGCCCCGTTGCGTCAAGCGAAGGGCTCCGAGAGCTGAGGGGCTGCGCAGGTCCAGGCTCAGGTCAGCCCGCGGCCATGAGGCTCAGTCCCTGGCACTCCACCTCGCCTGCTCACAGGGTTGTTGTGGAGATGAAATGGCGAGGAAGGGGATCCGGTAAGCTCATCCTTGGCGCCCTTGCAAGAGGAAAACAGGCCGGGGACAAATGGAATCCTGATCATTCTCATCCAACGCATGTGAAGCGGGGCCCACCTGCTAGTCGGCAAATGATCCATATGAACACGAGGGAAGCCACGCCGGCCCCCTGCCCTCACGGCGCGCAGCCGGCTGCCCTCAGAAGTCCACAAGCGGGACTTGGGGGAACCGCTCCATCGCACTGTTTCCCAGAAGCCGGTTTTCAAAAAGCGCCCTGAATGACAGCCCAGGTGCTCCTATCACGGCCTCCTGGCCACCCACATCCTTTCCCTGGCTCTTTGCCACGCGTATCTCCCTTGCTCATCCAGGCAGTGCGCCCCTAAAGATCGGATGCATCCCAACGGGCGTCCAGGCAAACCACAAGGCGGGCACCGAAATCTGCCAGATCACCTGAGCGGCCACGGAGGGCTCGAGCCGAGCCGAGCCGAGCCCCCGCCCGCGCAGTGGGTCTCCGGAGACGCGGCTCTGCCCACACCCGCTTAGCGAAACAGTTAACTGCGCTCCCGCCCCCAGCCATGAGATCACTGCCGCCGCCGGCCAATCAGCGCTCGGCACTACGGCAGCGGGCGGGGCCCGGCGCTCGGAGCAGCTGCCGGCGGAGAGAAGCTGTCAGACAAAATGAGAGGGGGGGCGGCGGCGGCGCGCTGGGCTTCGCTTCACTCCGCTGCCCTGCCTCGCTGAGGGAGCTGCGGCGCAGGACGGAGGTCCGAGCCCGAGCCCGAGCCACAGCTGACCACTGGGCCGCCTTGCTCACCGCCAGGATGATGGGCTGCAAGTCCAACTCTCTCACTTGCCTGCAAGGAGGGAAGCCGGGGCTGCCAGTGGCGGCTTCCACGGACTCCACCGCCACGCTGAACAAGCTCGCCCTGGCCACCGGAGGGACGGAGAAGTCCTGGTACCGCTGCATTTTCCCCTTCGGCATCGTCTCTCTGGTCATCGGCATCGCGGCCACCTGCATCACCTTCACCATCAATGGGCCGAAGATGGACATTGCCAAGGTGGTCTCCATGGCCACCCTGATCTTCGGGGTGTGCCTGCTGGTGGCCGCCTTGGTCTGCTGGCGGGCCAAGAGGGAGCGGCAGCGCAAGAAGCAGCAAGAGGAGCCCGTCCCCTTGGAGCAAGGGGCCCTATGAGCCGGACACCGAAGCAAAGCCCCGACAGGTAGACCCGAGTCTGGAGAGACCTCACCTTTTCCTTGTGGCCTGTGGCAAACTGAGTGGGAGCCAGGAAGGGGGCTTTGAAGGCACCCTGCAATCTTCTGGAGCCGGACGAAAGTGGAACTGGGCAACTTTGCCCTGTTTTTATTCAGTGCGACGAGCCACAAAACACGCTGCTCAGAGACTCGGCCTGCTCCAGGAATGGTGAGTGACGAATGGCGGGAGCCACGAGGCAGGAATGAGTGGCTGGTTGTGCGTTGGACTGTTTCCCCAAAAGAGGTCCTAATCCAAGCTCTGCGACCTTCTGAGCCAGCCGCACCGAGCGGCTTGTTGACAGAGCCTTCGGACCAAGTTGCTTTCAGGAGGAAGCAGCAGCAGAACTGGAGCAGAGGGAACGTTCTCCCTCCTTCAAGGATGCTCTCTGCTCGTCCCCATCCAGCTCCACATGCCATTGACTGATCACAGAGGGACGATGCGCGTATGTGGACACACATGCACACACGCACTCTGAAAAGACCACAGTCTCGCAGTGGCGGAACCGGCTATAGCGAAGCAAACCCAAACCCCGAAGGTCTTGGTAGGCGAACGATGGCATTTGGACTTTTCAGCTGCTGTGTGAGAAGGAGAGTGACATGAGATTTCAGCCGGGGGCAGCAGGAAGGTCAATCGCTACTGTCAGGATTCGGGGGATGACCAAATATGCCACCACACTGAGCAAGATAAAGTGAAGGAATAGTCTCGGTCTCGCCTGGGGAAGTCTGCGTCGGCCGCGAAGAGCCAAGCGAAGTTACGAGACCTCATGAAACATCCAGCTGATGGGAACGGCTACAGCTTTCTCCTGTGGCAGTGGTGGCCGCAGGTTTGCCACTGAGAAGCACAGGGCGGTGCGGAGCAGGACAGCTCACCGAGGCTGCCCCTCAGCACAAGGTGCTGCACAGTGGAAAAGTTTCTAGTCTAGCGGCAAGGACTGAATTCAAGCGTTCTATACCTGTGGCGTGCCTTCGCGAGTGTGCACCGGCCTTCCATGCTGTTTGTGATGTGCCTCAGGTTGGTTGCACGATGCGGTTGTGCAAGTCGTTGCCAACACACACACACAGAGAGAGAGAGAGAGAGAGAGAGAGAGAGAGAGAGGAAATGTTTTGCATTACAAATATAAAGGAAATGCTTAGCATTACAGAAAGGGGAACAAAACAAAATGGTTGTCTGGCTTCATCATCTCTTGGAATATGATAGTGCCCTGAGCAGAGCAGGATGCATTCTTCGTCCACACCACTCCCCTTAACTTGACCTCCCTGGCACAGTGTTTCCAGATGGGGCGGCCCCAGCTCACGGCTGCGTCACCTGAGGGCTCAAGGAGGACTCCCATCTCCCGGGACACTGAGTTCTCAGCCGGACTCCTGCAGGCCGGGGCGGCTCACTGTCAGAAAAGCAGCTGGCTTGCGACTCCTCGGCACCTGGAGACTCTCCACACATGCGCTCGCTGCTGGAAAGATGTGAAACTGGACGCTTTGGAACAAGCCTTGAAGCAGGGAGAGGGAGCAGCCAGGACAGGCGTGGGAGGAGGGTGGGACTGCGCTGGGAACGCAGGGTGTGCACATCCATCACGTTTCCTGGCTGTGCCGTTCGCTGAATGCCTGCAGAGCTCCCCCCACCTGTGCCCCCGAGGGCTGAGCATGCCTGGCCCAGATGCAGCCTGTGTGGCGGAGCAAGCATTTCACGATGCAGGCGGAAGAGCGGGCAAGAAGGTGGCGACACGGCTGGTGGTAACTTCCTGCACCACTTTAGTCTGTTCTCCCGAGGGCCACTCGGTCCGTGGGCCTGTGCTACAACTGGGGTGCAGGGAAGAAGCCTCTTTGCTGCAAAGAGCTGGATGCTCCCAGGTCGGGAGGCTTCATGGAGGAGGCTGCTGGATGGGTAGCAGACGCCCTCTGGCCAAAAGCATTTGAACCAGAAGCGGGATGCACTGGGGTGGTGCAGAGACTGGGGGAATGGACTGGGACTTGTGCGATCTCTGATTCTAGTAACAAATCTCCCCGGGTGACTTTGGGCCAATCATTGACTTCCAAGCAAACCTACTTTGCAGGGCGGTTGTGAAGATAAAATGGAAAGGACTAGTTAAACCGTCTTTGCAAGAGGAAAATGCAGGATATATATTATTATAGTATTTTCTGCCCTTCCTCCAAGGATCGCCTATAATTGTCACAAACCCCCTGCAAAGTAGCTTAGATGGGAATATGGTCCACAGGGAGTGAAAGAGGAGTCCTGCTAGATCTAACTGGGGTCCATCTAGTCCAGCGTTCTTCTCTCGAAAAGGCCAACCAGCCCCCAGGAAACCGAGCAGTAAGACATGGTAGCAGCACACGCCCCCTTGTGGTGATTTAATGGAAACTTAAAGTTATTTCCCCCTGCTCCCCACCTACAATTCTTTAGCCACCACTGCACCCTACTATAATTTTCCATATTGTACTTGACATCCGTGGCTGAGTTCTGACAACATGGTAACCCACACTGAAGGACTGAGTATGGGTTCCCATTGAACTGTGGGCTGTTGTGGAAAGATGGGTTCTCAGATTCCCTCAGCCCAGCCGAGATAACAAACCATGGTGAACAACCATGCTGACCAAACCAAAGTTGACAACCCAACAACAAACCATGAGTTTCCGTCATGGGTTGTTCATGGCTAACAACCCATAGCTTCTTAGTGCTTCTTACCTGGGTTCTGACAATGCAATGACCCACAGTTCGAAGCAACCAATGCTCAAGCCATTCCCAACTCTTGTGTATATGAGTAGTTGTGTTGTCTGAACTTAGCCTGCATACATACTTTCTATGCAGTTGGTGTAGCTTTCTGTTTCTGACAACCAGAAACCCAGTTTTGCTTTCCTGCTTGAGGGAAATTGTGATCACCTTTCAGGATCACTTGATCCAAATTGAGGAGAGCTGATAAGAATAGCATATAATCACCTCAGGGTGGATTTGCTTGGAGGCTCCTCTTCAAGGATTTGGTTTCCCATCTGAGGAAAGGCACCTAAAAAGGAAAGGTGCATCTGAGAACCTGGATGCACAGAGATCACACAGGTGAATCCATTGGGTGCCGAGCTGCCCGAGCACCATGCTACCCACGTGAAGCAGCTCGTGGACCAGGAGCATAGTGCCCTGGGTCATGGTGAAGGGCAGGAGATGATAGCTTTGAATAAGTCAGTTAAGTGCTAAAGCGCTGCTCTTGAGTGCGCCGCAGGCTTTGTACACGCTGAAGCAGCAAGCTGGGTTGCCTGATGCCGCAGCTGTGCTCTTGACGCATCCTCTGTGAGGGAAGCACCCAGCGACCGGAGGTTCCTCAGAAGTGGGAATGGCACCGGGGCGTGGGGAAGAGCGAATGCCATCCCTGTAAAATCTGGGATCAGTCCCTGGCACCTGCTTTTCCACTGGGGAGAGGCGGCCGAGGATACCAGAGACCCCTTTCTGGCTGAGACCGGGCACTCCGGAGCAGAAAGAGGCATGAGAGCGGGCAGAGGCGCTCGGTGACAGGAAGGGGCATGGCTAGGAAGCCACAGTGCTTCTAGTGGGCAGAGGGGCTTTATAATAGGGAGGGGTGTTAGAAGCAGAGGAGCTGAGGTACTACTAGTAAGCAGAGGAACGGTAACAGCAGAAGAGCGTTCTGGCGGCACAGGGATTCTGGCAGGAAAAAGCATCGCTAGTACGTCGGGGTATCACTAGTCCTTATGAAAGCTATAAAGCAGTCAGGGTTCTACTCGTAGGTAAAGGTAATGCTTGCAAGGATCTGGCTCACTCTTCTTACAAAGGCCCTTCCAGGAGTTGTGAAAGAGACGTCGACTCAGAGGAGGAGGGGTAGAATCTGCCAGTTGAAATGCTGAGCCAGGTGGTCACTGAGCATGAGGCAGTTTCAAATACTGTGGGAAAGTTTAGCGAGGATGTTACTATGGAGTGGGTGGGCCCCGAGTCCCTCATCCCAGGATGCAGCATCCGCTTGAGAGGGTGGACCGACCGAGAAAACCCTGGTGTGCCAAGCGGCTGCCCCAGTCACAGGAGGGGTGTTCCGCGTGGCATCAGTTCCTTCTCGCTGAGCTGCGTTTCCTTCAAGGCCGGTATTCTTACTGTGCGTGTTTCCTTTGCTGTGGACTTCTGCAGTTCTCTCGCTTGGTACTTTAAAGCCAGCCTAGCTGGTCGGCTTTCACACAATAAAGCCTTTCAAACAGAAAGCCTTTGTCCTGGTCTGCTTGGAAGGGGGGAGAAGCGCTGCAACGCGACCAGCGGCAGGGGAGCTGCGGCCACCATGTGGAGCGGTGCTCGCAGGGAGGGGGCCTGGAGGAGGCGGAGCCGCGGTGCTGCAGGCCAGGGTCCTGGGCCCGACACAGGCCGGCCTCTTGTTGCCGAAGTCTTTGCATGCAATGTGCTCTGTGCATTTTGAAGAGGAAGGCAGACAGACCTGTGCCTTTCCCCTGCTTGCTTCCAGAGATCTTTTGACCATTTGGTATGCTTTGCTCTCGTGCTCACAAATGCTTAGGGACCGAATGCAGAGCAGCTGTCTTCTCTTTTCATTGTAGTCTCTGTTTGAACACTGTGCCAGAATGCACAGGTGTGGGGGGGGGGGGGGGACAAGCCTGTGCACCCCAGGAAACCCTTTGTTGTCTTGCAGAACAGAGCGGGCACCTATCAGAATTAACCCTTTGCTGTTTCACTGTAGCATGAGTGGCTGGTTTTCCTTAATTAGGCTGCCAACAGCATGTCCTTTCTCACTGTTTCTGTGTACTGGGTGATTACATACCTCCTGCCGATCCCAAGCAACTGGACAAAATGCATGGCATGTCCTGAGCTGGAGGGGCGTGTAGGTGGCTTTGTTGACATGCCTGAACTCATCCTTGGAATCATCCGTACAGACGTGGTTGGGCAGCAGCGGCGTTTTTGCTGCTGAGAGTGACGGCCTCTTTCTTCAGATGCTTATTTTATTTCTTAAGTTTTTTTTTAATTACCAAAATTACACAAGAGGCTGCATCCTCTTTAAGTCTGAAAGAGCAGCGTCTGGCTCTCTCTCACTCACCCCCCCCCACCCTTTCTGCCTTGTACTTAGGCTCTAGGACAAGCTACTTTTCTTACAACCTCATCAGGTTTCCTTTGGGGAAATGAATGTTTTGTGGCACTCAGGGCAGCCATATAATGAATGGGCAGTCTCCATGCCAGCCATTTTGTGAGTGTGCCCACGACACTGGTTCAGACTTCCCAATGTGCCCACTGGCTCACCAAGATCAAGAACCCCTGTTTTGGAGGAGCCAAAGAAATGGCAGGTTCTGCAGAGCTCAACATATAGTAAAACTTTCTTTAAAGTCACCCTTCATCGTAAAATAATTAGGAGCCCCGAGGTACCAAGCCCATGTGCTATGAACTCTGCCTCGCAAGCGACTGAAGCTAAGGTGTTCCTGCTCCAGACCAATGGCATTCTGGGCCTGGCAATCAGATGATTCTGGGAAACCAGAGCCATAGGTTTGCCTGCCAAAATCAAGATCACCGAAACCTGTGACGCCTCTTTTGTCTGGGCAGAGCTGCCCTTCGGCTTATCTTCCCCAACACAGTGCCTTCCAAACCGTGCAGCTCCCAGCATCCCTGACCTTTGACCCTGATGGCTGGGGCTCAGAGCAGCTGTGGCCTAAACCATCTGGAGAGCAGCACACTGGGGAAAGCTGCCTCAGGGGATCGTGCAGTCGAACAGCGAGCCGTCCTCTGCTGTGGCCACGAGTGCCTCCAGCCATGGACCCTCACCAGCAGCTGGGCCCCGAGTACCCACCCAGGTGGGTCTTCCCGGCTGGAAGCTCTCCTGCCTTTCTAGGTTGCCTGGGTGCGCGGTTCTGCCCCGTTGCTGGGAGCCTGGGGGGGGGGGCACTGTTTGGACGGAACGGTGCACGAGATGGCCTCCTGTTTGGGCTCCCCTTAGGGTCTTATGCTTCCCTCTTCCCCAGAAGCTGCAGAGGCAGGAAAGAAGCGCCACCACTGCTTGCAGCGGAAGATCATGGAAAGCAAGGATGGAGAAAGATGCAGCCCTAGACACCTCCGTGACCCTCTCTTCTCTCAAGAGGGACGTGGTTCTGCCTGCCCCTTCCTTGTGTGCAGGAGGCATTTGGATAGGAACACACGTGATGTTCCCTGTCTGAAGAGGCAGGGCCCAGGAAGATCTCTCTCTTTCTCTCCCCAAGCCCCTGGAGAGCAGTTGCCAGTCAGACTGGCTAAGGGTGTGATCCGACGCATGTTCAGAAAGGAAAGGAGGCATGAATCGCAGCAGGAATACGCTGGGAATCGCACGTCTTCCCTCCTGCAGAAACATGCATCCAATTGCTCCTTCAATTGGCCTTCCCCAAACTGGCGCCCTTCCAGGAACTTTGTGCGACAGCCCACAATGCATCCAAAACATCCATCCCTGAGCCGGGGGTGGAAGGAGTCGCGGCCAAACTTCTCTGGGAGATGCTGAGCTGGGCAAGGCCTCCTTGGAATCCCGCTGAGTGCCTGCGCATTGGCCCATTCCCAGATGCGGCCCCAGAAGGAAGCAAGCGGGGCACTCGGCTGCACTCAAGGGGGTGAATGCAGGCCGGCCCTGAGCAGGCTCCTGGCTCGGGAAGCGCCCTGCTCCGCGGCCTTGCTCCGGTACGGCCAGCAGCGCGCTTTGTCTGCGCTGCAGCCCACGCGGCTGGCAAAGCGCCCCCTGCTGCTCGGAGGCTGCCCGCTCCCTGGAGGCTGCAGCACCAAAGCTGACCTTCTGCTCTGGCGGGGCTGCTACTTCCTGGTCACGCCTTTTCTATCCTGCATCCTAGAGGTTAAACTCAGCCGCGTTCTCGGAAGATGGAGCTCTCAGATGCGTGCGCCACATTGCATCCCCGGCCCTGCAGTAGCAGGCGCCGTCCGCATCACCGGCAAATTTCTTCAGGTTTGGAAGCTTTCTTGCTCGCGCTGGGGGGAAGCATGTGCTTGGGGCAGCTCTTCAGAACTTGCTTCCCTCCAGGCGTGCCGAACTTTGAGCCCAATCCCTCCCGGTCCTCAGGACCTTTTGGCCCTAGGTTGGAGACGGCTGGTGTAGAACTCCCGGGGTCACCCAGGAGTGGATGTGCTGCCCAGCTCTGCCTCCTAAACACGTTATATTATTGCTGCATTGCATTTATGTCCCACCCTTTTTCCACCTGTGAGGAACCCAAGGGGCTTACAGAGCTCCGTGGCCTCCGCACAGCAGCCGCCCTGAGAGGCAGGTTGAACTGGGAGGGAGCGACCGGCCCAGAGTCACCAAGCATTTCATGGCTGGCTGGGGACTCGAGCCCGGCTCTTGGGTTGCCCGTCTAGCGCTCCCCACACCGCCTCCCCCTGGCTGCAGTGGCGACCATCCAGATGGGCAAAGCCCAGGCGGATGTGGGTAGGCAGGCAATGCATCCAAGCTCCCTCCTTCCGTTTGCTCCATATCCGGTGCCGTTTAATCAGAGCAAGAAGCGCCCTGCTGAATCCAAGCAAGGCCCTGTCTAGTCCAATATTCTCCTTCCAGCAGAGGTTAGCCAGTTGCCTCTCGGAAAGGCCCAGTAGGGCTTGAAGGCTGCAGCTCTTTCCTGCCATGGCTTCCCAGAAGCTGCCTCTGCATCACGAGAGCACAAGTAGCCGATATGGCCAGCAGTCTGATGTTGGCGTGTCTGAAATGTTCCCTTTCCCTTTTGTAAGCCTTCTGGCTTAGTGGCCATCACACATTTCTAGTGATAGGAAGGAAGAAAGAATATCAGTTTCTATCCATATTCTCCATACTATGCATCATTGTATAAACTTTGTGCATGCTCTGGTCCTTTTGAAAGACATTAAACAAATCTGAAGAGTCCTGATGCTGAAGATTTCCTTGTAGGAAGGGTAGTTTGGTCCGCAGGGGTGTTGCTAGGCACATAAAACTTTTGTGGTCCAGGCCCAAAGGACACAAATAGAAAAGATTCTGTGTACAGTAATTTATGTCTCTGTCTATGTCAATGGCTGTCTATGCAATTTAGCAATAATTACTATAGTTAATTTACATGTTATAGGAGGAAAAGCCAGCTAATTCATTTCTCATCCTGATCATCCCAAATCTAAAAAAGCTTCAATTAATTTTCACCCTGCCCCAGATCATCCCAAACTGAGAGAGAAAGGATTTGCCCACTCCATTGCTTGAATTCAATGCAAGGGAAGATTTGTTGATGGCAGGGAAGTGTTGCAATGTGCAGGAAGGGGAGCGTTAACGTTTCCCCTCCTACCTGTGTTGTTGGTTCTTGCATAGCTATTAGAATCACAGAATCATAGAATAGCAAGACTTGAAGGGGCCAAGAAGGTTCCAACCCCCTCCAGTTGCAGGACACCAAATCACACCATCTCACCCAGACGGCAGGTTCTTTCTGAATGTCTGTAGTGTGGGGGACACTCTAGGCAACAAAGGAAGCTCTTCCTGATGTCCAGCTCGAACCTGGGTTGTCAAGACTTGAATTGATTATTCTGTGTCCTACACTCTGGTATCAGCAAGACAAGATCTTGACCTTCCTCTTTCTGGCAGCCTTTGAGGTATTTATAGAGGGATATCATGTCCCCCCTCAGTCTTCTCTTCTCAAGACTGAACATGCCCAGTTCCCTCAGTCTCTCCTCACAGGGCAGTGTTTCCAAACCCTGGGTCATTTTTGTCACCCTCCTCTGGACCTGACCTGGACCCTTTATTGGGACCACTGGATATTCTGGATCTTGTGGGGAAAGATGCTTGTTGTGGGGAGGAGATTTTGGGCCCATGCGCCAGGGGATCAGGCCTAGTAATGGCCCTGCCCCTCAATCATGTTTGGTCACCCATTTTCAGCGCAATAATCCAGTCCTCCGATACCTTCTTCCTGAGATGCATTGCCTGCGACTGTCCACGCTGAAATCCACAATCTTTGCATCCGTCCTGATCAGGAGCCTGGCAGTTTTGCATTTTGGGATTGCCAGAAAAACAGCATTTGGGGTTTTACCAGTTTCACTTCCCAGAGGGTGGTGTGGTGAGGAGATGCTAGCAAGCAACAAGGCACTGTATTACTTGTGAAGGCAGATAAATGAAAGTACAAAGAAAATGCATCCAGAACCGGGAGCAGGCATTTCTGAAAGAATTCAATCCGTACAAACAGTTGCAGGTGTGAACGGTGGTCTGTCCACACGAGCAGCGTAAACGGGAAAGCACACACTCACCTGAGGCATT